TCATTCCTGGAATACAAGGTTAGTTCAACATATGCAAATCAATAAATATAATTTACTACATAAACAGAATTAAAAGCAAAATCCATATGATCATCTGATAGATGTGAGAAAAGCTTTTGATAAAGTCCAATATCCTTTCATGGTAAAAAAACAAAAAACAAAAAAAACAACCTCAACAAACTAAATAAAAGAACCTACCTCAAAAGAGTAAGAGCCATCTATGACAAAACCACAGTCAATATCATATTGAAGCAAAAGCTGGGTCAAAACTGGAAGCATTTTTGTTAAGAAGTGGAATAAAACAAGGATGCCTACTCTTATCACACCTGTTCAATACGGTACTGGAAATCCTAGCCAGAGCAATCAGGCAAAAGAAGGACCTAAAAGGCATTGAAATAAGAAAAGAAGAAGTCAAATTATCTCCCTACAAAAAAAAAAAAAAAAAAAGAGAAATAAATAAATAAAAGACCTAGGAATATATCTAACTAAAGAAGTGAAAGATCTCTACAAGAAGAACCTTAAAAACACTTCTAAAAGAAATAATAGATGACACAACCAAATGGAAGAACAAGTATCATTAAAATGGCCATACTGCCGAAAAAAATCTGTAGATTCCACATAATTTCTATCAAACCGCAGCTGTCATTTGTTACAGAAGTAGAAAAAAGTATTCTAAAATTCATTTGGAACCATAAAAAGAGCTGAATAGCAAAAGCAATCCTAAGCAAAAAGAACAAAGCCAGAAACATCACATTACCTGACTTCAAGCTATACTCTAAGGCTAGAGTAACCAAAACAGCATGGTACTGGTACAAAAACAGAACAATGAAATAGAATATAGAATACAGAAATAAAGCCGCCTACCTACAGCCATCTGATGTTTGACAAAGTTGCCAAAAATAAGCAATGGAGAATGGACTCTCTAGTCAATAAATGGTGCTGGATTAATGAGTATCCATAAGCAGAAGAATAAAACTGGATCCATACCAATCACTCTATACCAATATTAGCTCAAGATAGATTAAAGATATAAATGTAAGACTTCAAACTATAAGAATTCTAGAAGAAATCCTAGAAAATACTAAGGTGTCTAAATACTAGGACTAAATCTGCAAAAGAAATTGCAACAAAAACAAAAATTGACAAGCAGGACCCAATTAAACTAAAGAGCTGCTGCACAACAAAAGAAATTCACCAGAGTAACAAGCAGCCTACAGAATGGGAGAAAATATTCACAAACTACACACCTGACAAAGGTCTAATGTTCAGAATCTATAAGAAACAATTAAAAAAAAAACCTCATTAAAATTTGGGCAAAAGACATGAACAGACACTTCTTAAAAAAACACACACACAAAAAAGAAAAAAGCAACATACAAGTGGCCCCAAGTGGTCCCAAAATACATCATAAATTCTCAGTATCACTAATCATCAGAGAAATATGAATCAAAAACACAAAGAAGTCAGGCATGATGGCTCATGCCTGTAATGCCAGCACTTTAGGAGGCCAGGGTGGACAGATCACTTGAGCTCAGGTGAGACCTGCTCCACCTCTACAAAAAACTACAAAAAATACACCTCTACAAAAAAATACAACAACAGCAGCAAAAATAGCCAAGCCTGGTGGCATATGCCTGTAGTTCCAGCTACTCAGGAGACTCAAGTTGAAGGATGACTTTAGCCCAGGAGGTCAAGACTGCAGTGAGCCGTGATCACACCACTGCACTCCAGCCTGGGTGACAGGGCAAGACCATACCTCAAAAACAAACAAACAAAAAACTCACCAGATACTGGTAAAGCTGCACAGACAAGGGAATACTTATACACACTGTTGGTGGGAATGCGAATTAGTTCAGCCACTGTGGAAATCAGTTTGGAGATTTCTCAAAGAACTTAGCACCACTATTCAACCTGGTAATCCCTTTACTAGGTATATATATCCAGAGGAAAATAAATCGTTCTTCCAAAAAGATGCATGCACTCATGTGTTCTTAGCAGCAGTGTTCAAAATAGCAAAGACGTGGAATCAATCTAATTGCCCATCCATCAATGGTGGATTGGATGAAGAAACTGTAAGACATAGAACACTATGCAGTCACAGAAAAGAATGAAATCTTGTTATTTGCAGCACCGTAGATGCATCTGAAGGCCATTATCTTAAACCAATTAACACAAAAACAGAAACCCCAGTACTGCATGTTCTCACTTATATATGAGTGCTAAACACTGGGTATTCATGGACATAAAGACAGAAACAATAGACACTGGGAACTCCAGAGTGCAGAGCAAGGGAGGGAGGAAAGGCTAGAAAAACTACTTATTCGGTACTGTGATTACGACCTAGGTAATGGGATTATTTGTACCCCAGACCTCAGCATCGTGCAATATACCCATGTAACAATTCTGCACATGTACCCCAGAATCTAAAATACAAATTAAAATTATTTAAAATCTAAAAACTATAAAAGCAGGTTATGGAACAGTTAGTTCAAAATCTAACTCAGAGAAGAATGAGAAGCAAATCTCAATGTGAGTATTTTTGGTACTTGTCAAGAGCAAACTAACCAGATGCTTTGTAGCATTCAGCATAATTAATGATTACCAGAAAAAAAATGAGTTTTAATTTTGGACAAGGTTAAAATCTTTTTGATAAACTTTGTTTGGTCAAGTATTTTTGTACATTTAATACTGACAGGTTTTATTAAAGCATTATATGCATTTAGGGATTCGAAACCATAAGCCTGAATTCATATTAAGAACCTTATATTATTTTCATATGAGAATAGAGGAATTTTTTAACATTCAAATGGTAGTTATTAGGTGATTGTTCTGTGCCAAGGTCTATGTGAGATGCTGGTGATTCTCAGAATGAGACAGACAATGGTCTCTACCACTACAGGATTTGCAGTCCAGCATATTTCCACCATTGTCCTGTCCCATAAACTGGTAACTATGTACAAAAGATTAGAAATATGTTAAATGGTGCCTACAGTCTTTTAGCTAATGATGTCTATGTAGCTAAACATTAATCTGTGAACTAGAGGCTGTTCTCAAAGCAGTAACTTTTCAGTAGAATTGTGCTCACTAGACTGTTTTGTTCAAATTTCTCACCTCTCAAAGGGCTCCTAACATATAGCACCCCTCTTTAATATCCAAATTCTGAAGAAATAGAAAATGAAAGAGTTACATATTACCTTTACAACTAAAAATATCCAAGCTGATAGATATGCTTAGTGTCTTTAACAGAGCTCTAGCATTAGGCCAATTAACTACCTAGTCGCAGGCAAAGTGGGGGGTCTATGTGGAGGGTTTCTGGAGAACAGCTTCTTCCCTAGAAGTAGGGTATACTATGTAAAGCATGCTCAGTTTATTATTAAATTTACTAATGTGATAAATCCCTTTATCTTGTAGCAGATGTGTAATGAAGCAGAAAAGCCAGGAATAAAACTACTTGAGCATCCACTGCAAAAAAAACAAAAACAAAACATCAAGCATAGGGAAATTGCTTTCCCTTAGTAGTATGTTCTGAACATATGAGTAAAGATGTCACTTAAAATAATAACCCTTTAGAATAGGAAAATTATTTAAGGTGAAATCTAATAATGTTTTCATACACTGTTCATTAAGAGGTACTAAAACATATTGTCAACATATTCTCTACTTGTAGATTATTTCCTTTGTAGATTATCTCCTTTGTAGATTATCCATAACCTATTTTTTTACATCTCCAAGTGACTCTTCACCTACTTTTTTTTTTTTTCGAGACGGAGTTTCGCTCTTGTTACCCAGGCTGGAGTGCAATGGTGTGATCTCGGCTCACTGCAATCTCCGCCTCCTGGGTTCAAGCAATTCTCCTGCCTCAGCCTCCCGAGTAGCTGGGATTACAGGTGTGCACCACTGTGCCCAGCTAATTTTTTGTATTTTTAGTAGAGATGGGGTTTCACCATGTTGACCAGGATGGTCTCAATCTCTTGACCTCGTGATCCACCCACTCAGCCTCCCACAGTGCTGGGATTACAGGCTTGAGCCACCGCGCCCGGCCTCCTCCCCTACTTTTTAACACCCAATCACCTGATTACAGAGAAACTGCATTTAAGTCTTTATCCTGCTCCTCACTAGTTATATATTTTCTCTAGGTCTCTATTGTTATCTGTAAAAGTGAAAGGGTATAAATTGATGATCCCCAAAATCCTTCACAACTCTCAAATTCTAGAATTATTGTTGGCCTCCCTGCCTAGGTACAGTTGATATGTACCTAGGAAACCAAATGTAATTTTATATTTAGCTAAAGAAATAGATGATTACAGGAGATAACAACTATGTCTCTCCCTTTGACCTTTTCTGGCCTTTATAATTTGCAATACACATTTTTTAATACATTGTTACTCTGAATTATGTCTCCATATTCTCTCTGCTCAGTCACTTCCCAAAACAATACATGTGCTTTCATTATGCTGTTCCTAGGAGCAGAACCTATGACGTTGTATAACTCATAGTACATTGTTTCAGGGCCATAGGAAATATATTAGAAGTTAATTTCTTTCCTGCTAAATCATTTAAAGATTTTTATTTCTGGGGATTGCTGTTTGCAAACTTGACTGTGACCCTCTGATTGTATTTCTTTATTTAACAAACTTACGTTCAAATAGTTTATAGCACTAATATCAGTAAAGCTGGTAAATGTGAATGCTGAAGGCCAAATTGTACGTAGTATTCATCTTATTGTTTCATTAACATATTGCATTTAGTATTTTTATATATTTTTAGTATATCTTATGTGTCCATATATGTGCACCTATGGATACACAGCAGGTATACATGTTTTTCCTCTGCTTAGAAGGATGCTAATTCAAGAACTTACCATTACAATGCCAGAAAAAAAGTGAATGCTGGTTTTAAAAGTAAGGAATTTACTCCCATCGTGCTTGTTATTAAATGTGATATATGGTAATTTCATCATTATAAGGTATGCAGATGTAATGATCCAGTGTCTTTTAAAGGTATGGTGTGGAGCCTCCTGGTTTGATAAAATTGGAAAAAGAGATTGAACAAGAAGAAACTCTTTCTGCCCCTTCTCCTTCACCTTCTCCTTCATCAAAGTCTTCTGGAAAAAAGAGTACAGGAAACTTACTGGACGATGCAGTAAGTAAAATCAGTCAGACTTCTTACCAGCACTTAGTCTTTCTTGCACTACAAAACACGTTCTGTGCAATGTCATATCAGTCTAACCTTTACCTATTTCAATTTTCTTGAAATTTATTTTAAGCCCATATGAAAAACGTTGCAGTCCTACAATTCATTTTGATATTCAAAACTGAAACACTTAATGAGACTTTATTTTAAACAACAAATAAAACTTTAGAATAATAAGTCAACTCCCTGAAAATTGTATTTGAAAACATGAAAGCCTCTTTGTCACTGGGTCACAACTCCCCATTTCACAGCTAAGAAGCCTGAAGACACAAGATCTTGAGGATTGTTAAAAGACCGGAAAGTAAATATATGATATAGAAGATAAGTGCCTTTCATGTACTACCATTGTTTTTCAAGTGCTCTCATATATGAAAGGCAGGTTCCTTCTCCAGGAATGGAAATGGAGAAGTTGAGTAACCTGCTGAGGGGGGGAGAGGACCTTAGATTCCAACACAGTTTTGTCTAACTCTCCAAGGTCCCTCTACTTAGCAGAGTCATTGAGTCACAATTTTTGTAGTTAGGAAATGTTTTAACAATGTCCTCAGAATCACAGTAAACCATTTTTAGGTATAACAGCAAACACAGTGAATTAAAACTCTCAGGTGACCTTGGTTGTCAGCTAAGTAGTTCTTGGTTATGAAAAGTAATATGTGTGTGCATATGCCCTCCACACATGTATTTTAAGTGCTACTGTAAAAATGTTAATAAAGGAGATAAATGATGAGTGACTGGGATGTTGTTTATGCAAAGTTTGTATTTTGGAGCTGTAGTTGCTTTTGAATTTTGTAGAAAACGGTAATGCCAGAGGCATTACATGGGCATATGTCTCACATACCTGGGGAGAGTCCTAAGAAACTAGCACCAACCACAATGCCAGCTATAAAAATAGGCAGAACTGAAAAGGACTGGTGGTCCACAGCTGTGATTTTCTTCCTCTAGGGTATGAGTGGAAGAAAAGAGCTGGGAAAATGGTTTGACTCTACAGGATGGAGAAAAAGAGATTTCTCTGTGTTTTGCTTTTCTTCATGTGACACTACAAACTATATTGCAGATTTAGATGAGCAGAAATATAACTGTCTGACATAATAAGAACCCTCATTTCTGTTAAGGGCAGCAACCTTATTCTTAAAGGTAGCTTAGCCTGTTTAATTTGCTGTCTTCTGGGTAACTGTTTAATCACTTGGGAACTAAAGAAGAACGGGCAAGACATTTTTATTTAATGCTGCTGAAAACGATTTTAAAATCACATCACCTTTTTGATGAATTGGTCATATGTCTTGCTTTTTCATTTCACTTTTTATTTTGTAATTGAGTAATATTATATTAGTAGTAGATAATGGTCTATAGTTTATATATTGATGAGAACATTTTTTTCTTCTCTATCAATTGTACTTTTTGATTAGACTTACTTTAGGGTAAGATGTTCCTCTAGTCTTTTTCTAATAAATGTATTTCCCCTGGGGCAAATATACTTGCTTATAGTCCATTTCCTCTCAGCCATAACCTTCATTCATTTTACAAAATTGCCTTATAGTCAGGGTTCCAGATCTCTGAAGAGTATCTGGCCAATGTTCCCCTTAACCTCCTATTGAATGAATTACTGGATCAAATGAAATTTTTAGTCCTAAAATTATGAGATCGCTTCCTGGTATTTGACACTGTTGATCACTCCATTCTTGAAATGTATCTCTACAACATTTCTGCTACCAGAAGGATCAAACTAAATGCATTTTAGATTTGATTAAAATGATATAGGGTTCTCTATAACATCTAGGGTGAAACCCAAGTTCATTGATATGTCATATAGTTCGTAGCCCTCTATGTTCTGGCCTACTGTGTGTTTTCTAGCTGTTTTGTCCACTGGATTAGTCCCTGCATTTTGATGTAGCCACTGTTGCTTTTCATAGTATTTCTGTCTACTCACCTTTTACACTACTTTTAAACACCTTTCGATCTTTTAAAATTCAGGCTGTGCTATACTACATAAAGTTTTTTACTGGTATCTTTCATCCCAGGTATAACTGGTAAATTACTCCTTGGTGTTCTAAGTCCTTGTATAAGTTTAATGAAGCATTTATCTTATTGGGCACAAATATCCTTTCCTCTCAAGGTATAGACCTTGTATTCAAAGACAAGGACCATATTTTATCCATCTACATCTAGTACCATGTTCGTTGGATCAATTATCAATGTAGCTAATTAAAGTTTAACCTTCTCCCTTATTCTGGTTATCCAAATTGGCCACATACTCTGCAAAAGTTCAATTGAAATTGAACTTTTCAATTCTAGTGTAGCTTTGTAGAGGGAGGAGATGTTGCCACTTGAAGCTACTTCTATGAACCTAGAAGTAGCTAGAATGGTTTTCTTTCTTCACTAACTTGTCTTATATCTGGCAATCCTTGAGATGAGGAGGAAAAGAAGAGAGGGCAAGAAGGTGGTGGAAAAATGATGAAAAGGATTTCAGAGTTTTACCAATACTCTAGTTCAGAAAAAGAGAGTGAAATGAAGACTTTCCACACAGTAGTAAGCCAGTCAGTCATTCCATGGTGGTTCTCCCCTACTCTCAAATTGTATACTCTCAGCTGAGAAAACCAGAAGGGATTTCACAGAAGCTTTAAACCTTCTTTAAAGTTTACTGGAGTTTAGAACATAACCATCTGCTTAGTTAAGAAGTTTTAATCAAATGTGGGAAATATACAAAGTGGATACTTCTGTACCTTTGTCAGCTAGAATACTATGTTTCTAAAGTCTTTAAAATGGCATTTTTCGGGCCAGGCACGGTGGCTCAAGCCTGTAATCCCAGCACTTTGGGAGGCCGAGGCGGGTGGATCGTGAAGTCAAGAGATCGAGACCATCCTGGTCAACATGGTGAAACCCCGTCTCTACTAAAAATACCAAAAAAAAAAAAAAAAAAAAAAAAAAAATAGCTGGGCACGGTGGCGCGTGCCTGTAGTCCCAGCTACTCAGGATCCTGAGGCAGGAGAATTGTTTGAACTCAGAAGCAGAGGTTGCAGTGAGCTGAGATCATGCCATTGCACTCCAGCCTGGGTAACAAGAGTGAAACCCCGTCTCAAAAAAAAAAAAATGGCATTTTTCAAAAAATGTTTGATCGAACACACCATGGTTAGATTAGTTTGATAAATACAAATTACTGTAGTTCTCATCTAGAGTCTGGTAATACATTTTGGCATAGTGAGTTCCATAATAACATCTTGTTTAACCTGGAATCTTCCAAACTTATTTGACCACAGAAGTCTCTTCTAGTCCTCTTCATTTTCACTTGGGAAAACTACATTGAACTATTTTGCATTCTGTTTAAGTGATAGGGTTTTTTTGTTTGTTTTTTTTGCTTTTTTAATGAAGTGTTTTACTTCAGGAACAGTGGAGCAGAGAAAAAAGTAATTTGAGCTTCACTAATGGTTTAAATCAGAACTTCATATATCTAATATAAAAGGAAATTGTTCCTAGAGCAACTGCTTCACTGCATGTGAGGCATATATTGCAGTTCAGAGTTGAAATTGATGTAGCCCGACATGGGTTTTAGAATAGAGATATAAAATAGAGATTGCTTGCAGAGTTCCTGCGTTTAGTTAATAATACTGGTTATGTTTACTCTGGGAAAGCTATTATCTGCCACTCCAAAAAAGAAAAAGAGGAAAAAGAGAAAGAGGAGGAGTGGAAAAAAAAAAGAAGAAATAAAAAAGAGAGAAAGCAAGAGAAGCAGATCTGTGTTAAGATATTATATTCCAGTGAACAGTTTCAGCAGTAACTGCCAGTTTTGAAACTTTCAATGTTTCTTCACATTTCTTTGTTTGTTATTTACGGGAATTCTGGGAAAAAAATAGGTGACCCTTTATGTGGAAAATACATCTCACGTTCTTTAATCAAGATATCAGGAAAGAAACGCAGTGATATCTGTTCAGATTAATTTATTCTCCAGATGTCCTGATAGAGTGATTAAGCTGTGATAAAACGGTGGAGTCGGGTTCAGTTCTCTTCGCTGAGCTAGTTCTCACACAATGAGTTGAATACAGTTCTCAGAAACCATTCTTACTTTCTTCCTCTTCTCCATCAACTTCCTCCGTATGGGGATGAGAGATAGTATAATTCTGAGTAATCAGGCTTCTCTTGAAATCCCATTTCAGCTGAAAACTGGCTGGGTTCCTAGCCAAGACAGAACACCTTCCAGACTGACTTTTCCCTAGGTAATGTAAGAAGCACAGATGTCATCGGTCACTGTTTACTTAACAATATATTTCCACTGGCCACAGTCTGGCCTTTTTTCTTCCACTTCTGCTTCCACCTCTCATACAACTACAAAAACAGCCCTTGATTTTTAAAATCAACTCCATTTTCAAAGCCATAAAGGCATTAGAGAAGAGCAGGCCACTTGAGAAAATGTTTCCTGTATTTTACTTCATTTAATACCAAGAGTTTCTGTCTTTTCTCTAAGAACACTGGAAAATGGAAATACTTTCCATACAGATTTGTGATTGTCATTTTTTAGTCAAGAAACCAGTTAAACATCAATTTGCTGTTTGGTTAATTGCCACATGGCAAGTAAAATTGTGCCAAGCATGATCCTCCTAAAGTTCAGGCCTCAGGCCATGTACCTTTTGGATGCTGTCATTCTGATTTTCTTCTGGATGATCAACCCCTCCTGTTTTGCATCCTTGCTTTCCTCATGGAAGCCCTTATTTGTGGTGATAAGGAAAACTATACCACTTCTAGCAATGGCATAACATAATTTACATATATATACGTATTTATATTTAAACATATTTTATAAACACATAGAAGGAGATAGACATAGAAAAATATTGAAAACAGGAACTATAGACAACATTCATTGGTCCTGTGAACCTACCCTCACCCCAGAATGTGGTTCTGAATTGTTGGAAGGAAATGATGTGATCATTATTCAACTTTTGTACCTCTTGTTTTATTATCATCATCCCATTCAGAAATAACCTTTCAAAAAATCTCTAAGAACAGAAGTATATTAATACTGGGGTGAATGTATCTATGGATCAAGTATAATATATAAAAAACTCATAACACAAAGTCATTGCCCTAATCAGTAATTTAACGTTAAATAGTTTTCTCATTTTTCAGTTAAGGCCATTTCTAAGGTTCTTTGAATCCATGCTTATTTAGTTCTCCTAATTTTTTCATGTCCTGTATAGATTCATGTTCTTATTTATTTATTTAGTCAATATGCATTTAATGAATATTTATTTGCTATTAGGACGTGCTTTGTATTACTGATTTTAAAATATAATAAAATACTATCTTAACTCTTAAGGAATTCAGACTAGCAAGAAGATATTAAGGTTAACCAATAAATGAGATACAATATGCTATGATAAAAATAAGTACCAAAAGTTGTAGGTTTGTCAGCAAAATTAGGGATGACAGAAAGGACTTATGGCAGTGTATATATTAAAGTTGGTTCTTTTGTTCTTTTCTTCCAAAAATAGTGTTGGTTCTCTTTTTGTACATCCTTATTGAGTTGTAATTGTATAGTTTTTGAGATAAATTTAATTCAGGAATTTTTTCCTTTTTGTGGTTATTCCTCCACTGTTTTAGCTTTCATACCTTCTGGAACCTTTCTTATTCTGGGGAAACTAAGTTGTTTAATTCCTTTACATCAACATGCATTTGAGTTCATGTGTTACTCTCTGCACAGTTTTTGCTTAGAAGGCTGATTAAAGTCACACACTGACTTATTTGAAGGAATGATTGCATTTTTTTCATGACATAACTCTAGACACCATGACATCTTCGTGGAAGAATTTGGGTGAGGAAATCCAGGCCAATTTCTAAATTTGTTCTATATACCTTCTAAAGGCAGGCTGCACATCATTTACAGCTTTCTGTTTCTTCCATGCAAGCATGTCCTCATAACACAGGACATTATCGTTTGGGTTGTTTGGTTGGTTGGTTGGTTGAAGAGCAGACAGACTGGCTTGTTTCCAGTCAAGGAAAACATAAACATAAAATTGTTCCTAAAATCTTGGACTGTTATCTTCTAGTAATCACAACTATTCATAAGCTTTATGCACATATCATTTAGATTATGTAGGTTTTAAAGAGTGAGAGAATAGATATAATGGAGCTAAAAATCTGATATGCAGGCATCAATTACATAGAACACACATAAGCTGTAAAACATAGTCACAGAAGTAAGGTTTGATAGGTGGGAATGAGTGAGATGGAGTGAATTGCAGGGTAAATCTGAGTAAATGAGAGATTACTTCTTAGAGAAAATCTTAGAGTTTAAAATAAGATGAAACAATAGACCTGTTTCATCTAAAAAGACTTGTTAGATTAATTCTCATTATTTTGAAACTGGGTAACATATAATTAAAATTATACTGAGGTAATGTAAACTCTGTATTAATGTACATTCTATTCTGGTTTTCGATAGATTCATCTTGACAACCCAAATCTACATGGTCTTTTTAGTCCTACAAAAGTAGAAACACAGCTGATTGTTTATAGTCTATGATTCCTGTTGACTTCCTGCTCCTTATCCTCCAAAATCATCACGGTCATTAGCAACCTTTGCCTTATTGCAGTCATTTGCCTTCAGATGTCTTTGGGACCTGACTTTTACATAGTTATGATTTAATGCGATATTCCTATGCTCACATTATGTCCATAAAGAACAAGTTTAAAGTCATTAAGGGTTCATGGGCCTTGGAGTCCTTGGAGCAAATTAACATAAATTCAACCTAATTAAGAAGAATGAATTTGCCTGGTCTTCTATTTCAGGTGAAACAAATTTCTGAAGATCCTCCTTGCAAATGCCCAAACAAGTTCTGTGTGGAGCGACTCTCCCAAGGAAGATACCGGGTGGGAGAAAAGATCCTCTTCATCAGGGTAAAGTTTTACTTTTCACTTATCTCGTTCTTTATGGGAACACTCAGAATTTGAGTTGGGGGAAATGTGACAGACAACAGCAGGAACTGCCATATGGTGCTTACAATTAAAGATACATGGTATGAATTTTTTTTAAGTAGCATACGTTATAATGTACTACTGGAGGTTAAACAAATAGAACTGTTTTTCTCTTTGTACGTATACCAAAACACGTACACACCAAAACACAATGGAGATCAAATAGAATGCAGAAGCCTTTCCACTTGTGTTCTGTTTTGCTAAGAATCAAGAGAATTTAATCTCTCAAAGTAAGTTTGTGACTTTTGCTAAGACCAATATTTTTGTTAAAAAATAAGAAAATGAAGAATATAAATACATTTCTAGAAATCTGCAATTGTACACAGAAGTGATTTTCTGCTTTATGGTTTAGTCATTTCTGAAGGAATGAAGGTTGTGATGAAAAAAACTATATTCTTTCCTCAGTTGAATAAGTTAAAAAGTATCTTGCTGTTGTAGAATAGAATGATTCAAAGATATACATCTAGTACCAGCAATGTGTATTCTCACAATGCTCAAATCTGTAATGACCCTGTTGAAATTTTGCCCATGTAAAGTTTTCTTAATTTCTACTTTTGACCAAAACATATTTGTATAACAGGTCTTGCTTGTTAAAGGCTCTGCAACATGTGGTTGGAAAATGAAAGTTTAATCATAATTTTAGCCTTAAATTATAATGTTAATTATTTTGAATTATAATCTAATTTTAGATTAGTATTTACTAATATATTTCTTAAGTTTCCAGGAAACAATTGTGATTCTGCTTTGGAATAGCAACCAAAAGGATATAACAATATGTTATTATTAGGGATATGAGACAGATCTGGGTAGATGGCCTCACTAGGAAAGGCAGCTGGTTGCCTGAGTTGCTTATTGTCCTTTTGTTCTAATTTCAAGGATAGGATACATATTTTTTAGTCAAGCTGCCTGCTTTCCCTTCAGTACATTAAATAACAGTGATCTAGAATCTCCAGAGATATATTTAAATTTTACCAGGTTGACCTTCCTCAATTGATAATCAGTCTTCTTTAGAATATTAGGCTCCAGAGTTTAGAATCAAAACATAGAGCATCATTTTTTACAGTTATTCCTTTTTGTAATAAAAGTGTTAATAAAACACATGATTAATAAATTATATACTTCTCCCTCCAATGTAACCTAATATCTTCAGTCAAAATACATACTACATATGTTTATTTGCATCTGACCTTTCATATTTAGTCATTTGTCAAAGATGTTAATATCCGTGTTTATGAAGAACATGTTTTTAATGTCCTTACTATATAAGGCAGGTTTTTTGATGTTCCATTTTTCTTTTCAAGAAACGTTTATCTTTTGCTTAAATCTATTCATGTAGTATTTCTAGAGAAAATGAGATTTGCTGTACTAATGTATTAATTGAGGCGTCTATGTGCTTTTGTAGACAGGCTTGTTTATGTTCATACTCCTCCATTTACAGGTGGGCGATAATCCATACCTAAATATAAAGAATCCTTTAGTACAAAGAAAAACCTCTGAGGTTTTAGGCAAACATCCTAAGAATCTCTTGCCAAATGGGAATTTTTTTGTTTCTAGTTTATGAAAAAATAATTTCTCAAAGCCAGATTTTTGCCCTGTACTCTCCAAAGGGCACCATTGTTTTTTTTTTTTAACTATCAAATGCAGCCAATTTTTATTTATATTGTGCAGATGCAAATGTACTCTCCTCCAAAATATAAATATTTCCGTTATTTTTCAGTGACTTTGAATTTGGAGAGCGATGATAAAACCTTGCTGATTTCTGTGGTAATAGAAATTTGGATTATTCCCATTCAACCATAATACATACATATCTTTGAACTGTAAATAGGTGGATCTCAGGGCTCATGTTTGTTCATTCAATCAGTTGGTATATACATAGGCTTCAAGTATCAAGAAGTCATTTGGCAATACAAACTCAAATAAGCCTATAAAAAGGGACTTCAGAAATATGGCTTTTGTTTCCTTAATTGCTAATATATACTGAAAATTATGTTTCCTTAATTGCTCTTATTTACTGATATTGCCTTTGTTAGACTGTATGCAATAATCATATCTTTGTTATTTGACTTATCATTTCCAATGTGATGGCTATGTTCTGCCTAAGTACTCCATGCTGGAGTGCAGTGGTGTGATCTTGGATCACTGTAACCTCTGACCCCCAGGTTCAAGCTATTTTCATGCCTCAGCTTCCAAAGTAACTGGGATTATAGGTGTGTGCCACCACATCCAGCTAATTTTTTTGCATTTTTCGTAGAGACAGAATTTTGTCATGTTGGCCAGGCTGGTTTCAAACTCCTAGCCTCATGTGATCTGCTGGCCTCAGCCTCCCAAAGTGCTGGGATTACAGGCATGAGCCATCACACCTAGCCTCTTCCAATAGTAATTTTTAAAGTGGCCACAGATGAGCAGGATCAGCATCATCTGGAAACTTGTTAGAATGCAAATTCTTGGGCCTCCTCCAAGACTCACTGAATCAGAAACTCTGATGGTAGGGCCCAGTCACCTGTGTTTTAATAAGCCTTCCCAGTGTTACGTATGTGTCCTGAAGTTTGAAAACCACTTTAAAACAATGTATAGGAAGCAATTCAGTGTACCAAAAACACAATTGGAAATCATTTGCATGTCTGGTCATGAAAGAATATTGGCATTCAGGTGCTAAAAATGATCATTTTGAAGGCTTCTGTGTATTCTTGGGAGGCAGTGCTTAAGATGTAATTTTAAGTGAAACAAATGGGCTTTTAAATTATATTTACCTATAAAATAGCTCTGTGTGGAAATAGGATGAAGACAAAGAAAACAGGAATAATAGAAAATGGTTTTTAATTGTCAAGGACACAGAATGAGAGTGACTTTTTTTGTTCGGCAAGTTTCTAATGAAGATTTTAAAAATATGAACTCTTTAAGAGAAACCAGCAACCAGATACAATTAAAAATTTGAGAATAAATTCAAAGGTCTCTGAAAGTTGTGAGGTTAATTAGCAGAATGCTCATTTGAATGGTCCTTTTGCTGAGCTTCTTATCTTCCAGAAAAGGGTAGGGTGGTTTTTTGGAGTCATGATGTCATTTAGACTACAGATAAATTTTGCATATTGTTGTGAAATTGTAGCATATTTTTCCTTAGATGAAGCTATCTTCCTTTGCTATTTTATTCCTCCATTTTGGAAACTGATGTGTTTAGGATTAGTGTTAGGAAATATGCAAATGTTTATCTACTGTCTGGATAATGTGCCTTGTCTTTCCAGACCCTATCAGTGATCTACATTTCTCTACTAATCATTGCAGTTTTATCCATTTGGTGTCCATTCCTTTAGGGCTCAGTTTTAGTAATAGGAAAATAACCTAATGTGATAAACTTATTTGTGCTAATTCATGAAACGGATGCAGACAGCCCCAATGAATAGAACATCAATGGGATAAGGTCTTTACACTCAACTAAACTGCTCTAATGTTCTGATAATAAAAATTTCTGGCAAAATAGCAACCAGTCAGGTCACATGTTGTGAGGTAGATGACATTTTGTGCTACTCAGTTTGCTCACTAATGTGATAAATTTTTTTTTTTACTTGATTGTAATTTATCACTACCCTAATACTGTACTTTAGAGTTGTTCAAAGTGTGGTCCCAAGAATAATAGTTCCAGAAGATGTTCAAAAATATTATTTATAAAGAAAAGTTAACATGGTTATGAGTTGAAACAGGTTTCTTTAATTGCTCTTATTTACTGATAATTGCCTTTATTAGCCAGTATCAGAACACTTGATATATCTCATTATAACCTCTCATACTAGTGTAGAAAATGTTGTTGACATTTCCATTTTATAGATGGGGAAACTGAGACACCGAGGTTGAGTAACTTCTCAAAGTTAAAAGGTAATAAGCATTGGAAGTGGACACTAAACCCTGGCAGCCTAACTCCTAAATTTATACTCTTTACCACTAAACAATATTGACCTCTTCACCTGGAATTTCTTGGACGGTTCAATAAACTAATGTGATCTGTAAGCTCCTGGAGACAAGCATATTGTTCAGCGTTTTCTAAATGTATTTAACCATAGAATAGTCTCTTTCCCACCTTTTACTCCCCAGAGCATCTTCCTGTGCTAGGAGGTCATAAAAACATAGTTTGAGAAAGACATTGTCATTTGAAGCAAATGTAATAATTTGTAAGACAATTTATATTGAAAGTTTTCCACATCTTGCCACAGTTAAAACTCATGTATTTTAAGGTATTAAGAAATATTTAATTTGTACACATTTTTACCTTTAGATTTCCTTTGGAAATGATTTTCAAGGACATGACTGGAAAACCTTTAAGGAAAAGACAGCAAAAATTTAATAAGGATTATTTGTTTCAGGCATTTGACCAGCTGCTTCATATTTATATCACAGGATTCTTTCTAAACCATAGAGCTTGGAAATTGTTTTTATCTTTTTGTTACAGGTGAAAAAATAAAGTCTTAGAGAAGTTCTTAAGTAAGTAATATAATAAATAAAAGTCAAAGCCCTGACTTCCCAAACCTACAACACATTCCCCTCCAAGCTGCCTCCTGGGGCATATCCATTAAATGCAAGTATCTTATTCACAAGGCTAGTCCTCTAAAAATAATCCATACCTTTTATGATATATTTAATGATCAACCATAATAAAGTATTTTTACACCATTTTTACTTTAAAGGTATTCAGAATACAAAGGGCATTCAATTGCATAATCAATAGTGCTCAATATAAAGACATATAATATATTTGCCTGACTATATTATGACAGGATAAAAAGTATGACAGTATTTTCATTACTGTATGATGGGCACTGTATAAAATGCTTTTATGTGGTCTATCTCCTTAATAGGCAAAACTAACTAGAATTCTATAATAAGACATATTGCTATCTGTCCTGCCATTTTTCAATAGATATCAGAAGATA